CAAAACGAACAAAATAAAAATAAAAAGAAATGAACTCCGTTCGAAACTTCGGAAGCGGCGGGATAGCGTTCGCCGGTTGCTGCTTCGTCTAATCATCAGTCGCGTCATTTCGTTGTGAAGGATTTCGTTCACCTTTCCTTCGTTTCTTATTTCTAAATGGAATCTTCTTTTTTTCTATTGGAGACCACAGCGGTCGGTGGAAACCGAGCTTGGTATCACTTTACAGACTTAAGAGCCCAACGTGTAACATTTGTATGTGCTCTGTAACCTACAAGGCCACAATCATCGCAAGGTCTGCAGCCATAAGTGCCACATCGGTGTTGTTGTTGTTGTTGTTTCTCACATTAGCTCTAAAGAAAAAGATTGGGAGCCCGTGGTCTCAAAACCCGGCATACACGACCCCACGAAGAAACAGAAAAAAATAGGGTACAAAAACCACTCGGAAGAGAAACACACATGTTCGTTCATACTAAACAGATTGATCGGACAATTATTCCGTCGCGAGTTGTGCGCATGCCATGCAGATGCCAGGTAATATTTCGCCTCTCTGCGTTTTGGGTGCATTTGCACACAAAGCAGGTGCTGTATTGCACTTCACAAGCCTATTTGGTTTTGGTGATATGCATACCTATCTCCATTTGTATGCATTCTGCTGTCCTGCTGTTATTTCTGTCTGTCTGTCTGGTTTGTTTGTTTTCGCAAGCCACGCAAAACCACGTTGTTGATATGTTTCCGTTCTTTCATTTATTTCTGGTTCTTCCAGGTGATTATTTGCCGGCAACAAACTCTCGACGCACGACACAAGACACACACGCATCATCTCCTACCCTGCTGTGGTTGCGTACACGAGCGAGTGCACTACTGCTGCTTCTACGCCGGTCGCATCGGGTTGTAGACCGGCGGCCCCAGTGCGTGCATCCTCCATCTGTGACCGATCTCTGTTATTCCGGGGAGAGGAGAAGAGACTGGTCCGTTTGCAGGAATTACAGGAGCAGCAGTAGGGCGGCAGCATCGGCTGGCGAGAATAGGTGAGAAAAACATCGGGTTTGGTGAGTTCATACGCTCGACCCCACATAGCTCCCCCAGCGTGTTGCCCACGTCAACACCCAACACCCTCGCGCGGGTCGGATTCGTCCAGGCGTTCTTGCTTCCGCAGTAGGGTATGCGGTGCTCCCCTCCTCCCGGTCCATGCGCCGGAACCCATTGAATATCGAGTGAGGCAAGCGAAAGCGCGCGTGAGCGAGAGACATATCTCCACACATGACGATATTTTAATGTAGGTGGTCTAACAACAGAGCGGAAAAGGATGACATCAAGATTCATCTCCATCGATTGCTTCTGGTGACCTCTGGTGACCTCTTCTTTGCCCCTCGAATCGTCCTCCGCCCCGCTCCGGTCGGTAGAAAAGCTCGCAGTGCTGCCCACACCCTCGTTTGCACACTCATGCGGTGGGACGTCGCGTGTCAAATTCTAGGCGATGTGTGCTGCTGTGCTGCAGTTGCCAATCTTGCGCTGAGGAGCACGCGAGAGAAATATTCTTCAAGTCTTTCGGATACCCCTCAAGCGAGCGGCATCGTCGCGGTAGTTCATTCGCACTCCGAACAGTGTCTGTCCTTGTCTGCCTATGGTATTCACCGGTGGTCCGGATCTTCGCAGCGATAGATAGGAGGACACTGACGGTAGGGGCTGGACCGCTGTTGTTTTGGTGTTAGGACAGCAGCAAGCGACAATAATAATTTATATACCACACACGCCGAGCATACATGACCGATCGATGCAGCATGATATTCGCTGGTGGTATGTACATGAAGGTAAATTGTTTCCGTCAGGAACGGGTTTCGTTTTGGAAAAATATACTTCAAGTAATGACATATACTAATACAGCAAAACGTTTACTGGGCGGTATCAGTTTTCTCCAATCTCCGATTTGTCCGTAATTTCTGTTGTGTGACTGCCGCCGCTGCTGCTGCGCTGCTGTGCTCCGCTTGACACATGGGCGTTGCTTATTTGCATGAATGTGCCGTGAAGATGTTTTTTGAGATTGGCATGCATGCAAGCGCGCGCACGTAGTTGTGCAAGAACCAACCTGTGGAGGTGTTGTTGCATCTATCTGTGTACGTGTGCGCGGGCAACGGCTTACATCAGATCAGTGAGTGAGGAAATCACCTCTCTCTGCACACCACATAGCGACCATGAAGCTCCCTACCAAATGCTGCGTCGTCGGTTAGTTAGTTAGTAGGTGTTGGTATCTCATCTCATCATGTTGTGTTGTTCGGAGTGGCCGGAGAGAGGGATCGGGCCAACAAAACCCTTGCCACCCCCACCCCCATCAAACGTGTGTGCACCACCGCAGGCGCGAGGAAAATAATCCGAGAATCGAACGGAGACCAGACTGACGGACGGACGACCCAGCTGTAGTCTAGACCGAGACAAACAGACCCCGATACCTGGAGGACGTAGAAATAAATACTACTGGTTTTGGGGCGCGCTCCTCCCCACCCACCTACCGTACACTCACAGCAAGCATGGTGTACGTGGCCCACACGTGCGCTCATGTGGACTGCTCGAAGCGGCCCACGTACGGCATCAAGGCGACGCGTAAGAGGTAAGAGATACAGGAGGCTGTCCGAGCAATACTCATACATACTCTACACGAACGAGCGAAAATCGTTGATTTTTTCGGTTTCGGTGGCACACGTCGTTAGTAGCATGGAAAATAATTACAACCCTTCGAACACAACAAAGTGTAGTAGAATATGTCTAATTACTGCGCGCCGTTTCGAGGTTGGCAACAGAGACTGTACGGCCGCCGTGTACGTATCGTGTTTACGTATCGTGTTGTTGGGTATTTGGAGGAAATATTCTGCAAATAGCATTTTTGAACACACACTCTCCTAGAATGCAGTCGTACCTTGATGCGACATTCATCCGAACACGGAACGGCACGCATGCCCGCAAGCTACATCTATGCAGTACTTAATACCCAGTTGATGGACGGACCTGAACTATGGTTGTCGCTCTCTGTCATCGATGCAGCCGAAATATGCGGCGTAAAAACCGTATGAAAAATGTACCACAAACCCTAATGTAGGGTGCCACACGAAACAAATAAATATAATCGAGGACACCCTCCTCTCAACAAACATATCCTGTTGTCCGCAGGGGAGACAACTCTGTGGCGGCCAATCTGTTCAGGGTGATTATGTCAGGAGAAACAGGGGAGGGCATTCATCAATTTAATACTCTGCGTATTATAACAGCACAGGCAAATTCATTGCAAGGTTGTCCCGCACTCGTAGCTGCGGCAAGAAAGGAAAACATCAGTTGTAATGCGCGGCTACGTCATAGTCTAAATGGGACACACCCATTTTTACGCCCACACGTTTTGCTTAGTATGCATACCGCTCTCTACGCTTAACGCTCTCCCTCCGGGGTGGGCCCGTGAGAGCACAGCAGTGCCATCAAGGGATGATGAACGATGGACGGACATGTGTTGATGCAGGCAGCAACCCGCACAGCTGACTGCAGCAGAATAGATAGATGCGGTGCTCAAGCTCTAGACCAGTCTAACAGCTCGCACACAGACAGCTGAGACGTTCTTTTTGTCTCAAACAACGAACAAAAAAAGTCAACAAAAAAAGTACCCATCTGTAGTCTACAGATGGCGCCCGCACCTAAGAACCTCTAGTTTCTGCCGAGGCTGGGGTTCTGATTTCGCTGATCATCTCCTTGTTGTGGGTTGCAAATGGCCGCTAGTCTAGTCTAGGTTAGAAACAGCAGTCTGAGACCATGACAAGCCGATGTAGACTATAGGGTTTACAGGATCGCGTACGTACACCACTGCTGTTAATTCCCCTGGTTTAATATGCATGACAATTTATTTCACTGGTGCCTTCTTCATTCAGTGAAGACCAATCTCACCAAGATGCACAAGAAAAAAATCATGACGAGGAATTGCACAACATGGTGCCTCATGGAAGACCATTTCCCGTCGTGCAGCATCCAACAGACTGCACGTACAACCCATTTTGGTAACCAAATGATGCAACTACTTGCGTCGTGTTTTTTTTTTTTTTGAGGGTATGAATACATCACAGATTGACTGTCGTCGTGGTTTCCACGAAGTTTTGTTCCTCACGGATCCCATCATCAGGATTCCAAGCATATTTATGCATACAAGCACCAAAAGTCGAATCGACCCGTCCCTATTGATGCCAAACTTCTGCTGCTGTAGTTCCTGTAACGCGTTTCGTTATATGTACTTCAAGGTTGCTTTCGCTATAATTTCTCTCTCACGGATGGATCTCATCATCAGGATTCCTTGTTTGTTTGCATAATATGCATACTAGGCACGATAAGTTGAATCGACCCGTCCCTATTGATTGTACCATGCTGCTGCTGTAGTTCCTTTCTCCGCGTGCCACCCGCACCCCGTACTGTCCTAAAATAAAAATAATTTGCCTGTGATGCGCAACCTTGTCCTCTTTTTGCTTCAGGGAGTTCTGTGTCATACACGCGAAGCCCGGAATGATCAACGTCGACGTGGCTAGGTGAGTTCGGATTCCGCTTTTTCTGGCATGTATAATGTACTTCTACAGCCGGTCGTCCCTTCACCTAGTCTAGTTGGTGCCCCTCAAAAGCCTTCTGGCGGTCGGGGTCAGGGGTTCGAGTCCCGGCGTAAGCGAGCTTTCTTGCAAAGTGAGTTGGTTTCTCTCGTTTCCGTTCACGGCCTGGATGGATGGGTGGCGGGGTGACGATTGCGTATCAACCACAACCTACAACCGCAACAACACCAATTAACGACAGATTAGCGACACTTGAGTGCCACGTGGAATGATATGCACGCACGCAAATTTCATGAGGAGGCGGCCGGTTGCCTGTTGAACGCAAGGTGCTAATAGATTCAGTCGCGTATACCGTAAGTTGCATGAGACATCACACCCCCTGGACCGATTCGAAGACCTCGATTGCTCCGCAGGAAGAGCAGCAACGGTGCCGAAATGGCGGCTTTAGAAAAGCATCTTCCGGAGCTGTCCGAAAACGCGCCAGTTGGTTTTGGCATCCTCTTGGTCGTGAAGTAATCGAGCTTTGAAATCGATCCAGGGAGTGTGGAATCTTACGTCATACAACCTATGGTGGTCTAACTTCATTCACACGTTCTTGTTTGTGGTGGGTTATTTACTCGTTTTTCGCGATCACTACGTCGCCTCGCTGACGCTCTATCAGCTCAAATCCATTCATTTATTTTTTCCCGTGCCTGATGTACATACGACATGGTTCCACCTCTGCCTCTGCTTGACGGCCCGCCGACGCAGGTGCTCGCGCGAAGGCTGCAACTCGCGAGCTACCTTCAGCTTCCCCGAGACCACCACCCCTACCCCTACGCGTCTCTCCGCCGCTGCTTCGTCAGCGTCATCATTACCTCGACCGGGGACCACCAACACTACCGTCACCACCACCCTGAAGCGGACCTGGAAGGGCCGGCACAAGAAAGAGGAGTTCTGCGTAGCGCACGCGCTGCACGGGATGGTGCTGTCCAGGGGCAGGGGTTGCTCCCACCCCGGTTGCTCCAAGCGCGCAAGCTACGGGAACGCCGAGACGCGGCGGAGGGAGTTCTGCGCCGCCCACGCGGAGACCGGAATGGTGAACATTAACAGCATCAAGGTCCCGGAGACGCTAAAACGCGGCGGGCAGTCGACGGCGACAAGCAACGCGAGGGCTGTGGCTGCTGCTGGTGCCAACAAGCGAAAGGCCGCCGCCGTCACCAGTGCAGCGAATGACGTTATCGCCGGGAATGGCTACGGTGGTGGAGGTGGTGATGGCGGTGTGGGGGCTCCGTTCGCCTCTGTGCGACAAACGTACCGGTCGGACGGTTCCCCCCCCGGCGGAAGGACGTTAGTTCGGGAGCACCAACAACGCGTCGGAATAGGAGGAGGAGGAGGAGGAGGAGAAGGGTCGGAGAGGCGACCGGCAGCCAGCTGGAGCTCGTCTGACGAGGTGTGTAGTAGACCTTGGGTTGCGTCCGGCGGGGAAGGGGGCGGGGTCGGCGGTGGCGGTGGTGTTGGTGGCTCTGTCGACCAGTCCGCATCTTTAAGCGCCGCTGGTGCTGGCTCTCTCGACCGTTTCGCTAATTCAAGCGGTGACGTCCCTACGAGTTCCGCAGCGGCGTCTCACGATAGTCCTTGTTGTTCGGGCTCCGGCGGCGGTGTGGAGGAGGTCAGCAGGGACGGAAGGACCAGCGGAGAGAGCAGCCCTCCGACCAGCAGCAGCAGTGACATGTCCTGCAGCAACAGCGGCTACGAAGGTAATGAAAGGAACGGTGAGAGCAGCAGTCCTCCCACCAGCGGCACCGACTTGTCCCGCAGCAGCAGCAGCAGCAGGAGCAGGAGCAGCAGCAGCAGCAGCAGCAGCAGCGGCCACGGTAGTGTTGCCGGTTTGCGCAGCCTGTCGGCGGAAACCATGACGACGCGGGAGAAAGCCGGGGGGGCCGTCGAGAAGGTAGAAAACGGTGCTGCCGCGGCGTTTGAGCCGGCGAATTGGAGGCAAACGATGTCCCCGCCGCCACTCTCGTCCGCTCCGCCTTGCGGCCTTCCTCCTTCTCCGTCTTCTTCTCGTCCTCCTGTCGGTCTGGTTCTGACGACGGAACACGGGCACGGCGAACAAGCTTCGAAAGGACAGCAGAACCACCGAGGGGCCCCATTTTCATTCTCGACGACGACACGGGCTACGACTAGTAGACCTGGGGGGACAGAAGCAGGGCCGACGACCGAGCACGGACTCCGAGAAGCTTCAAAAGAACAAGGCCGAGTTATGTTCTCGACGGTGACGCGGACTAGTAGAGCGGAGGGGAAAGAAATAGGGTGGACGCAGCAGCAGCAGCAGCAGCAGCAGCAGCAGGTTGATGCTTCTGCGGGGACCTCAGGGACGGAAGAGCGGGGATCGGAGGTGCATGGGCCATCCGAGAGCGATACCGTGAGAAGGTGGATGCTGCCATGGAAAGGTACGGCGACGCCGCTCTTGCAGACTCAGGACGGGTGGATGGAGTGGGAGTGGACTGCAATACAGATTCACTCGCGACGGTTGTGATTGATTGTGCCATGTCACCATATCAAAAGCGATCTCGCTGGGAGTGGACTGCTGTTCAGGTCCACTCGCGACCACCGTGATTGATTGGGTCTTTGCGTGATGCCTACAGCGATCTTGGTGGGAATGGAGTGAACTGCCATTCAGGGTTACTCGCCACGGCTGTGATGGATTGTGCCTGTCACCGTGTGATGTTGTCTACTGTAGATACCGCGATCTCCAATCTGCGTTAGCATCCTAGAGTTCAATGCATCACAGCACATCGAGCGTGTTTGTTCGTTCGCGCCCCTCTCTTTGCGAGATTGTGGTGAGGTCGGACGTGCACTTTATGTGTCATATTTTTCAATTAATGCATTCGATGCATATTCTAGCATCTGCACGGCTGGATGACGAGATATACGAAGAGTATTATTTTTGTGGTGAATGCTGTGTGTGGGATTTGACATTTTATCTTCGAATTTGTTTCACGCATTGACGTTCGGTTGGGTGCGAGCATGTGCGGTGCACTGTATGGGGTTTAGACATTTTCGTCTTCGAGTGTTTATTCACTCGTACTCATCCAATTCCGGACAGTACGATGATGGTGTGACATGTACGCTATGCACCATGTGTGTGAGAAAGCACCATCAGGTGGCAGTCTGTCACATTTACGAATACGAAAAAGTTGTGCATTTGTTCATCATCCGTGACAATCACGGTGTCAGTTTTGTCAACGAATGGACGCAGCATGATTTGTGTTTTTTTTGCATGTCTGGACCGGGAGTGCGTGGTTTCCTTCTGTGTCACTGCTGTGGGTGCGATGTGAGATGCGTGCGGCTCGACCAGCTTTGGCATCATCACTACTTGTATGTTTCTGCGACCGTTACGGCAGTACGTGAGATTGTGTGTATTCATGTCGGTGTGGGTTGCTTTGGGAACGCATCGTTAGCAGCGAACTTATCCATCTATTCAATTTACCTAAATCTTTGCCTTGTGTGATACCGGGAAACGAGTGCTAGACTGTTCATTTGTGGTTGACGCGGACGATGCTGCATTTATCATCCAAAGGAAATATTCATTTTTTTTGGTGGGATGTCGCCCTCTTGGGGTGCCATGCACGCAACGGTTCAGAATTTCTTGCCTTGCGTCAGACACACACATGTCCTGGCAATGGCGCCTACATGGACATGTTGTGTGTGTGTGGGGGGGGGTCTGGTGGCGGCCGTGTTTGCATGTTGGCATACCAGTACGCGTATCATCAAGTCACGTTCGTGCGTGCGTTTTTTCATTCTTTTCTGTGACTCGGAAGGCGAGCGAGTGCGTCTCAATGCCACCTCGTTTTCTTCCCGGTGTACACTGTTGATTTCCTTGCAGCTGACGATGCTGCATTTCATGCGTATGCACTCAATTGTTGGGACCGCATATATCCGGAAGTTTGGCGGGGGGACTCCTACACTTGCCGATCGTGGCTTAGGATGGATTGGGGACAACGCGTCCAAGATTCGCTTCGAGAGTAGCAGGCGTTGCTCCTGAGAGTGAGTTGCGTGATCGGTAGGGGCGGGGACGAGTGCTGCGTGCGATAACAAGTGAATCTGTATGAAAGCATCGGTCCAGAACGAGCAACAGAAAAGTCTTCATATGCACGTCCGTCTGTGCGCGACTTGTGCTGTACTCCGGCTAGGTTCGACGGATGTGGGCGCCTGGCACGTGGAGTAAAAGCACTGGCCATCATGGCTTAGGATTGATTCAGGAACGATGCATTCATGGTTCGGAATGAGAGAATATATATTTTACTTCTGAGAGCGAGTTGCACGGTCGGTTATCGAGGGCGCGTGCTGCGTGTGCCATAATAACAACGAAAATCTTGAGCAAACGTCAAAGGGATCGAGAGGGTGGGCCGAAAAGCCTCTAGTTATATCTCCGCCTGTTGTGCGGGAGCCGTTGTCTACTCCGGCGACGACGCGTTTACATAATGTAACAGGTGTATTACAAACAACACTCGATCCTGCCCCACGGGACACGGTCGGTCTCACCTTGGCCTTGCCTCCCGCGTGTCTATCACTCGCTACAATAACTTAAGCTGGTTCTTGAGTCAACCTTCATTTCCTTTCGGCCGCTGAAGAAGATGCTCCACACAATCAAACGCAATATACATACTTCAAAGTATATACATAAGCTATGATATCGAGTTTTCGACCTCCCAACCTCCCCACGCAAGCCTTGGCAGATTTTGGCGTGGAGGAGATATGGACCACAGGCCGGGGTTTCGCCGACGAGCCAGGCTTATGTTTCACAAGCGAAATGATGAGAGATAGGAGCTGGTTGGTCATCAGTTTGCTGAGCCAAGCCAGATATATCTATCTGCTCATCATCATGGGTTGATTGGGGGCATCAACCAAACGTTTCACATCCGGCAGGCACAACAAATAATTCCCTGCGCGCTTGTACACCGCACGCGCGCCACGTACGGAGAACACTCGTGTGTGTGACACACACGGAGGAACATGTTTGCTTGCTGTTTCAGATGGATTTCACAAGTAAATCACGCCACTCTGTGGAGTCTATTTAGTATCCTATGCGCGCACCACAAGGAAAGGGAGAAGCACTGGTGGCACAAACTGGGTTAGCAAAAAAAAAAAAAGATGTCCCTGTGGCGGCAGGTATGCAACAACGCAGGTTGTAATCATCTTGAGACAAAGGCTGGACGCCTTCGATCGCGACGAACAGAACTACATTAAATACAGATATTATTGTTCTTCGATAGCAGAATCGAAACACATCCGATCTACAACCCTATCCAAGGAGTCGGTTCACACAGCAGTCCTCACAAAGGAGTCTGTTCACACAGCAGTCCTCACAAAGGCGATCGTATCGGACTCAGTGAACGTGAACGTATCGCTTGCTCCCTCAGCCGCCCCTCTGCACATTATCAAGAAAAAAAGGACAACTCGTTCACCGGGCTGACACGTGCCCTATCAAATCAACGAAAATCAACAAATACATAGCGCATCCAGGAATTGTCCAATTACTGTAGGTCACTTCTTCAACCCCAGCACAGCTACCCTGTCTTGTCCTGGCCGTTCCATCCTGTCGCTTAGTTAATGCTCGCACCAAAGAACGTGCTCGGCGGTTGATAACTCCATGCTCAACACACCGATTCATCACAGCACAAGGACTTGACAACACCTTATCACAGACGTATAAAAAAACAATACTGCGGCCATTTGTACGAACCCCGGCCTCGCACCCGCGATCAAAAAAAACAAACCTCACTAGCTAGCCTAGTCAGGCGATAGTAGTAGATACTTCACCTTTATCGTTTGCGCCCGCAAATCGATCATACAGCACCGGATAGCGCCGGCACTTTAGCCGTTAACTTCAAGCTCGACATTCTGGTAAAATTGAAAGAACTTGAGTTCTGAGCCCGACAAAGGACACCCATGTAAAAATCCTGTATAGCAGCCGTCTTACTGCCCACAAGAGGAGCCAAGAACCCAAGCCCGGCCAAGAAAACAAAAAATCAAACATATCCTAGCCTAGCCAGGTGCATGTAGGTAGATGGTTCTCCGCGTCGTAACAGCTAGTGGCCGCCGCATTTTCATCATACCGTCAATGTCGCGCCCGCAATTCAGAATTTCACGCTCTACTTCATACAAATATGGACCGCACCGGTGGTCTACTGGGTAACCTCGCAACCTGCCAAGGGCCAGGTCATGGGTTCGAGTCCCGGCAAGGTGAGTTTTTTTCTCACCAAATAAATCCTGGTCTAGGATGAAAGCGACGCGCTGCAGAGCTCGTTGTTAGTAAACCATAATCGACTTCGTGAGTCGCGAGGGAAGGGATTGCTCTACCCTTCTCGCGATGAAAATACCTCAGGCAGGAACCGCAGGAGGGGGTCCAGCCCCCCCCTCCTATGTGACCCCGGTTGGGTCGTCTAGCTAGTAGAAGTGGAGGATAGGGGCCAGAGGGGCAGACGACAGAGTCCAATGATGGGAGAAAAAATATACTCATATATATATCAGAACTTGAACACCATTCGTGAGCCCGGGAAAGAACGAACCCCCTTCACTCTGCCTAGGTAGCTGCCGTTTGCCGCATACAAGGCCAGGAACTACGAACCCCGCGCTCGGCCCAAACTGGGCGGAGGGTCTCTCTAAAGCGCGGCCGCCAGCTGTTTACACAGGTGCTTTCGTTTAAGGCCGGCCGTGATTTAAAAAAAAAAGATATCGGCTAGTGCAATGTTTTGTTTTCGAGACCAAATTTCTGGTGGACCTCCAACACCTAATATCGGCTTCGAACAACAGGTGCAAACAACATCGAAGGGTCTACAGGGCCAAACTTGCAAAATGTGTTGTGCCAGAGTCGACAGGATTTTTTGCCAGAGGGGAGCACGACTCTCGAAACATGCAGCAAAAGCCAGCCGGTCCCTCCTGTCGCTATCGAAAAATAATCCGATCTAACAAAATAACTGCCCCCCGCGGTTGACTACAAGAATACAAACTTCGACCCTCTAAAAGGGCGAGAACCACGGCAACAACTCGTGCCGGTTGGTGGTGACCCGCCAATAACGGTTGAGAAGGAGACCGCAGCGGGTGCGACGCCAGAACCGGTGAATCGGAAGCAATTCAAGGTGACCCTTCCAACACCACAAAAATCAACAGATACACACATTGCGAGGAGAACAATGTTCCCTTTAAGTACAAAAAATGGGTGACGAAATAATCATGGAAACTTCATCCCCCCCCCCCCCCCCCCCCCCCCCCCCCCCCCCCCCCCCCCCCCCCCCCCCCCCCCCCCCCCCCCCCCCCCCCCCCCCCCCCCCCCCCCC